GCACATGGCCAACCTGGGTTCGATTCCTCCATCCCTCTCGGGGAGCTCAGCTAGCTACCGAGAGTGTCCCGCTGGCATGGCAAAGCCTGGCAAGCTACCTGTGATGTATTCGATATGCCAAAAACAGTAACAAAAATTCTCACAATGGAGATGTTACTGATGCCTGCTTGAGCAAATTGATGAACAACGGGAAGACAATGCAATGCTACAGAGGAAAGAGTATGAAGATTGTTGTATTTCACCCATTAACCTCTTCTATAAGAGATCACTAACCTGTTGTTAAAGGTTGAGCCTTGTGTGCTCATATATATATATATACATATATATGTGCCTATTTTATATATATATATTTATTTTATATATAGATATATCTGTAAAAAAATTTTTCCCTCTAAGATTGATTGCCTCTTACTTTAAACCCCATCAAATGTGGTGCAGTACTCTTGGAGTATGGGTAGGGTGTATGGTATGAAGTGTCCAGGAATAAGGTCACTAGTGGGTGAGGCTCGACCCGAGCATGTGGATAACAGCTGTGAGCATGGCAGCAGTTGGGTTCTGGAAGTTTTCGGGCACTGGAACTGGGTCCCTTGGGGTGGGGAGGAGTCGCACCCTTCCCTCTCCGGGGTGCCCTGAGTGAAACAGCCTGGCGTGGGGTCTGGCGGCATGGTTATGGTGACTGAGACCATTTTTCTCTACTTTAGATCAGCTAAAGAGCAAACAGAAACTCATGACTCTGAACTAAAGGACACATTCCAGGGTTATTTTCATGTCCACACTATGTTTCTATAAAACAAAACATAGAAAAAAGAAACTGCAGTGATTATAAAGGAGAGCTAGCTAGGTTCTTTGCATTAGAAGTGAAGAGAATTGTGTTTGAGGGAAGACTGGAAGCTGGGAGGAAGGACTAATAGAAAAAGCAATCCTAGAGGGAGCAGTACTCCCAGCTCTATTTCAACTCACCAGGGAGTTTTAAACATTCCTGTTTACAGAGTAGGAACTTGGATCTGTTAGTGCTGGGGTGATGGGCCATGAAAGATGAGCTCTTGTTTCTACTCAGTCAGTATCTAAACATTTTCCTGATAGTGGAACAGCAGTTAATTTGAATTATTTTGGGTTGTTTTCTTTGAATTCTAAGCCATCTCTTCAGTATTAGATGCAGTGGGTATTTTATCTTAATGGCAGGGAGGGCCAGCGAAGGGGTTGGGTCACACCTGATGTTGCTTAAGTATTACTCCTGATTCAGGCCTTGTGATATTAGGGATCAAACCCAAGTCTCCCACATGCCAGACATACACTTAGTAAGCTCATTGAGCTATTGTAGATATCACACTTTGGTGCCTATAATTTATTTTAACTATTTGAATCCATTTTAGAAAAAAAATATTTTTTCCAGCTTTTACTGACATGAATTTAAAAGAAATCCAATGAATAACAAGAGGAGAATCATTCTTCTGTGATAACTGCAGATGAGTTTACTAAAACTGGGATGATGACTTCACTAGAAAAAGACATTTGTTATATTAAATGAAATGCAACCATTAGCTTTAAATCACTGTCATGTGCATGAATTAGAAACAGTATGTTATGGAAGTTGAATGAGGATTTGAAATGTATGTTTGAATTTTAGATAATTCATACTGCAGGCATGTACATATTTCAAATACAAAGATACGGAAAAACTGTAGAGCACCAAGTTTGGTGCACAGTTTGGATACTAAGGTATATTAAAATCTATTTATTTTATCCATATAAAGTGTATAAAAATTCATCATTATCTCCCTAAAAAGTCATTGTTGGACAGATTTAACAGAACTAAAAACATGAGATCTAAGTGGTAACGAGTGAAACTTTGTGATGCGCCTGTCAAGTTGACAGGTGAGGATTAAGAGGGGGTTGGGATAGGGAGGAAATCTGGGAACACTTGTGGAGGGATTGTTGTTGAATTATGCCTAAAACACAACTATCAGTAATTTGTAAATCATGGTTCTTTAATTTAAAAAAACAAAGGCTCTTCTTGAGATAGAAAGCCTGTAAATTATTTAAGGGCAATACTAGGACCAAAAGAACTTACCAGTCTAATATTAAGGGATCAACTAATGTATGGCTTTATAAAAGCCCACTTCTGAATTGTGAGTACACTGTGAGTAGTTCAGTGCTTCTACTGATCCTGTTCTTACTTGTCTTTAGTACTTTTTCACACATTCTTTAGCATGAATTTTAAGTTTTGAAAGGTGTTTCCTTAAACTATGATTTATGTGTATTATGGGGATAGTTTTTGCAACCCCTTCAGGTCCGAGCTGAATGTGAATGGGACACTTGCTTTATTCCTCGGTCAGTGTGCTTGCTTCTTCCAGCTACTCCTTCTCACCCTCTCTGCTTGAAAGTGAAGTTTCAGGGGCTGGAGCAATAGTACAGTGGGTAGGGCGTTTGCCTTGCACGTGGCTGACCTGGGTTCGATTCCCAGCATTCCATATGATCCCCTGAGTACCACCAGGAGTAATTCCTGAGTGCAGAGCCAGGAGTAACTCCTGTCCATCGCTGGGTGTGACCCCCCCCCAAAAAAAAGTGCAGTTTCAATTCTTCATGTCCTAACAAATTCATAGAAACTGCTCATTTAAGTGACAAACTATCACTTAGAAAAAAGGAAAGAAGGTTCCTGTAGAAATTTCAAGAAGTTTCATTTCTTTAGCAACAGGATTTTCTTTCTCATAAATGCTATGTGCACTTGAGAAGAATGTGTATTCAGTTTTTTGGAATGAAATGTCAACCAAGAGGTTGGCCGCAAAACCTCTTATAGTCTAGTACACTAATGTACCTAAAGCAGCACACATGTGTTTGGTTTTAACATACTTGCTTTATTCTCTTATATACATTTTCCGTCCCTCTCAGAGAGCCCAGCAAGCTACTGAGAGTATCCCGCCTGCACGGCTGAGCCTGGGAAGCTCCCCGTGGCGTATTCGATATGCCCAAAACAGTAACAATAATGGGTCTCATTGCTCTGACCCTGGAAAAATCCTCCAATATGGTACCGCTGGGAAGGATGAGTAAGAAGAGGCTGCTAAAATATAGTAACACAGTGATAAACGCTATTATAAAACAATGCCAAACAAATCAACATCATTATTCAAAGATATTTCCACTTACTGTACCATTTACTTGCATGCTCTGTTACTGCGACAGTGTCACAGAAAACAAATTACACACTTACAGAGGTAACACTGAACAAAAGCACTTATTAATCTGTTCATAGACCTAATCATCACACTATTATATACTATTATTACTTTGGTATATGTTCACATAATGAGTGAACATATTCCTGGACACATCATAAGACACTCCCTACCCATTTTTCATGATTGCCACATCATATCTGATGGGGTTCAGACAGCAGGCAACAAATTATATATATATATATATGCATATATATATGAGCCCGGCAAGCTACCGAGAGTAACCCGCCCGCACAGCAAAGCCTGGCAAGCTACCCAGCTACCCATGGCATACTCCATATGCCAAAAACAGTAACAATAGCAGGTCTCATTCCCTTGACCCTAAAAGAGCCTCCAATACAACAGTGTTGGGAAAGACGAGTAAGGTGAGGCTGCTAAAATCTCAGGGCTAGGACAAATGGAGACAGTACTGGCGACCACTTGAGTAAATTGATGAACAATGGGATGACAATGATACAGTGATTAGCTTACTAATTTACAATGACAAAGAACAAGTAAGAAAAAATTTTGCTTTAAAATTAGGAATACTGGGCTGGAAAAAAATAAGGGCTGTAAAGATAGCATGCCTTGCAAGCAGACGCCTGGTTCTATTCTCAGCATTACTTTGTCTCCTGACTATCATTACTGGATACAGCCCTGAGTCCTCCAAGCATTACCAGATATGGCCCTGGAAGATCCAAGCGCTACAGGGCAATCTGAATGATCTTTGGCTCCACAGGGCTTGAGTAGCATTGTATCCTCTCGTCCTTACATTGAAGTATACCAGTATGTCAAAGCATCCCCAGGAGGGGCATCTGGGCTTCAGAAAGCACCCCTGAGATGCCTCTTTTTCCTTCGAGTATGAATTAGCAAAGATAAACTTGAAAAAAATCAAACTGTGTAAGTGTAAATTGTCCTAAACTGACTACTATTACGTTGAATGGGTCTCAGACAGTGTGAAATATAGAAGGAGGAGAAAGGGAAAATATTAAGACCTGGAAAGATTCTATATTCAAATTGCTTAGCAAAAGCACGTTCCAACTCTACATTAAATAAAGCAAACAAACCAGAATAATGTTATGAAAAAGACTTGAACAGTAATATTTTCTTTTTCTTTTCTTTTTTGCTTTTTGGGTCACACCCAGTGACTCACAGGGGTTACTCCTGGCTCTGCACTCAGTAGTCACCCCTGGCGGTGCTCAGGGGACCATCTGGGACGCTGGGAATTGAACCCGAGTCGGGCGCGTGCAATGCAAACGCCCTACCTGCTGTGCTATCTCTCCAGCCCCTGAACAGCAATATTTTCAAGGATCATTTTAGCCCCAAGGACTACAACAGAAAAGTGTTGTGCCATTAAATAAAACAAGGGCCAGGTTTTAGTGCATAATGTCCCGAAACATTTTTTTTTTTTGACAAGAAGGTTCCTTTGTTCAAAATGAAATCTAGGTGGCAGCACTTCCTTTTAAAAGTTTTATTGCTGGGCTGGAGCAATAGCACAGCGGGTAGGACATTTGCCTTGCACCCGGCAGACACGGGTTCGATTCCCAGCATCCCATATGGTCTCCCGAGCAGCGCCAGGAGTAATTCCTGAGTGCAGAGCCAGGAGTAATCCCTGAGCATAGCTGGGTGTGACCCAAAAACAAAAACAAAATAAAAGTCTTGTTGCTATTCCTGAAACCTTCGGAAAACATGAACTCCTGAGTTCTTCCTTGCAGTAACCCAAGCCGTTCCAAATCAAGATGAACTAAACTGGAGAAACTGATTGGCTACATGACATAGCAACTCGTGTCCAATGAGAATCTGCCATCCCAAGCCTAGTTCAGATATCGCTTTCCGATTGGTTCTTCCTGGTAAGAGGGCGGGGACAGCGATTGACTTCCGCTTACGGACCGGGAGAAAAATGGCGGCGGCCAGGAGACTGAGGTTTGCGCTCCATGGCCCCCGACTGTCACTGCATACCGCGGCGCAGGTCGCCAGCGCGGCTCGGGAAGTCGCCGGCGCAGACGTCGCGGCAGTTTCCACCGCGCGGTACCCACCGATTGTGGCCTCCCTCACTGCCGACAGCAAAGCGGCAAGGCAGCGGCGAGTGGAGCGATGGCAGGCGACGGTACACGCGGCCGAGTCGGTCGACGAGAAGCTACGGATCTTAACCAAGATGCAGTTCATGAAGTACGTGGTCTATCCGCAGACCTTCGCCCTCAACGCCGATCGCTGGTATCAGGGCTTCACCAAGACCGTGTACCTGTCGGGCCTGCCCCAGCCGCCGCAGCCCGCGGGCGCGGCCGCCGTGGACCTGGCCGCCCTGCGCGCCGCCGCCCGCGACTGCCTGCTGCAAGAGCACGTCTTCCTGCGCCGCCGGCGCCGCGGGCCCACCTACCGCGAGCGCCAGGCCCTCGCCTCGGCCTTCCTGGACCAGCTGGTCACCTCCCTCACCGGCCTGCTCAGTCCGCACAACCCGATCCTGGCCTCCGCTGCCCTCGGTGAGCCCCGGGTCCTGCACGCCGGGAGGGCGAGTGGGGGTGGACGGGCCGCTCCCCGCGCGAGGCTCGCACCCCTTCCTTTTCTCGGCCTTTCGCCCCCTGCAGGGGGCTGCCCTTCGTTGAGTTCCGCGGCAGGCCTTGGGGCAGTGTGGGCTCGAACCTGCGCTGCTGGGGCGCCGGGGAGGCTAAAGCGCAGTACCGACTCAGGTCCCCGCGCCCAAAGCCTGCACGCAGATGCTGCTGTCGACCCCGCCTGGAGAGGGCACTTGCCTGGCATGCAGCTCGCCCCAGTTTGGTCCCCGGCACAGCATGTGGACCCCGCCACTGCCAGGAGTGATTCCCGAGTGCAGCCTCCGAGCACTGCCGGGTGTGCCAACCCCACTCCCGCCGCTGGTTTCCGCGACAGAGGGGGTGGCTTTTGACTCTTCCACTCAAAGGGGACTTGATTATCCTTTCCTTACTATTCCTTTCCAACATAGTTTCCCCCTCCCTTTCAAGGCGGGCATTGTTGGAAATTTCTGTGTTGGGAAGCAAGTGGTCTTAGCCTTCTGGAACTAACTACGCAGACTGATGGCCAGTGTCAGGACTCAGATCAGTCAAGCGGACGGGCGTCCTTACCTTTGAGCCTTACTGTTGGTATTGAATTGGAAAGTCAGAGGAAGACGCTGGCTCCGACTCTCATTAAACTTTCTATTTCTGTTAATATTACTGTTGGTCTTACTTTCTTTATGTTTAATACTAAACCGAGAAACTGAATGGGTTGCTGGGTTTTAAATAATAGTGGGAGAAATGGGTGGTGAATATTGGAACATTTTATTTGTCTCAGGTTATTTAACTTGCATTATCAAGTAAACCAACCTCTCTTACATCAAAGAGTGGTTTTTGAAAATTTAAGTTACACATATCACATTTTGTATTGCGGAGATCCTTCCCTTCCCTTCCCTTCCCTTCCCTTCCCTTCCCTCCCCTCCCCTCCCCTCCCCTCCCCTCCCCTCTCAGGAATCAATCTTGTTAGATTTAGGGGACCATATGGGGTGCTGAAGCTTGAATTTAGGTTAGCCACATGCAAGGCAGGTGCTCAAAATGCTGTACTCTCTAGCCCCAATATTCTTTGGTATTCTAAAAATAACCAGATTAATCAGATGAAATATTTTAATATCTTTTGATAGATTGTAAACGTCCGGTTCATTTTTATTGGTTGCGGGGTGAAGAAATTATTCCTTCTGGTCATCGGAAGGGGAGAGTTGATGCTTTGCGGTACCAAATAGATGATAAACCACACAACCAGATTCGAATATCCAAACAGCTCCCAGAGGTAAGGATTTATAATGCATGATTCTGTTGACATCGAATTTAAGAAATATCACGGGTAGAGTAGGTAATGGGAGTGGTAGGCTAAAAAGTGGGAGGATGGATTCCTCGCCCTTCATCTATCTTTTTTTTCCCAAATATATTTCAGCTGAAATTCTTCTGATGATTAAGCTGCTATGGCTTATTCAGTCATGGTCAAATAATCTTAGGTGAAGTTAAGCACTAATTTTCAGGACAATATTTATCTTTTTCATGTTGGAAGGAAAATACTGATAATACTAAGACATTTTCACTGCTAGGAATTGGGCACTTTGCTGTGTGGAGTTATTTTGGAGGATAGCAGTATCTTTTAAGTGTTATGTCAATTTTAGAGGTAGGAGGATTTTTTTCTGGAAAGAGCCAGGAGTATTAGTCTTCATGTTAGTCTCTGTTGCAGTTAGTCACTTTAGTCTTATGGTATAAAAAAAATAAAAGCAGTTCTACATCATACATAAGTGAATGTTCATGACTGTGTTCCAAGAAAACTTTATTTCTACAAACAAGTGTCTAGTCAGAGTTAGCCCAACATTAGATAGAGATAAAAATGATAAAAAAATCTTTAAAATATTTACAAAATTAAAAAAAATTACTAGGAAAGTAACAAATATATGTTTACAACATTTGTTATAAGTATATAGTGACAAATACATATGGTATTTGGTGTTTTTCTGAGTTCACTTACATCTTTTTTTCTTTCAGTTTGTGCCACTGGATTATTCTCCTCCTCTAGAAATCCCTGTTATGAGTTGTAAACCGGACAAACTTCCGTTATTCAAGCGGCAATATGAAAATAACATATTTACTGGTAAGTTTCCCTATTTACATAAACATGGATGACCAAGAAATTCAGCTAATCCACTAGGAACATAAGCCATAATTGCAGGCTGTTGCTACGTGCATGAAAATTGGGAAGAAAATATTCTTTCATTTTATCATGTAAAATGTTACTTGTTTCTACTCTATTAGCAGTATTTACATTTAAATAATAGTTAAATACATATTATAGGCTATACTAGAATAGAAATGTAAACTTGTTTTTATTCAAAAGTAAAACAGGAGAATGAGGTGGTGGTCGACATTTTCACAGAAGTCTGTTTGACACATACTTTGATGACCATTTTGATACCAAAATTAATAAAACTTGATAGCTAGCCTCATGAAGCATATTTGTTTGCTGTATTTCTTTGTTCATTCTCACCTGACTTGAAAACTATAGTAATCCTTTGGGTCCATTTTATGCTCTTTGGGTCACACCCAGTGATTTTCAGAGGTTACTCCTGGCTCTGCACTCGGAATTAACTGCTTTTGGTGCAGGGGGACCATATGGGATGAATGAGGATAGAATGGGCCTATTTTAATGGTAAGTTTTCCTTCATTGTGGTTTTAGAGAGTCAATTATGGGAAACTTATGGTTGAAAGTCCACTATATTCAAAGGACTAAGTCAGGGGGTCCAAGAGATAGTACAATAGGTAGGCACTTGGCTTACATGAGACTGACCTGGGTTTGGTCCTGGCGACCCATATGGCCCCATGATCCTCCCCAGGAGTAATCTCTGAGCACAGAACCAGGAGTAAATCCTGAGCACCGATGGAGGTGGCTCACTGTCACTGTTGTCCCGTTGTTCATCGATTTTCTCCAGCGGGCCCAGTAACGTCTCCATCGTGAGACTTGTTACTGTGTTTGGCATATCGAAAACATCACGGGTAGCTTGCCAGGCTTTGCTGTGTGGGAGAGATACTCTCGGAAGCTTGCAGGGCTCTCTGCGAGGGGCGGAGGAATTGAACTCAGATCGGCCGTGTGGGCTGCACGCAAGGCAAATGCTCTACCGCTGTGCTATCGCTCCAGCCCATAGGTGGCTCAGAAACAAAAAATTTAAAAACTGCCTGTATCTTGTGAAACACTTACTCTTACACTTATTTACTTAGAAATGTATTAAAAATTATCAAATATTTGTATTTTATGGTGAATAATATTGGGCTGGAGCAATAGCACAGTGGGTAGGGTGCTTGCCTTGCAAGCAGCCAACATGGCCAACCCAAGTTCGATTCCTCTGCCCCTCTCAGCCCGGCAAGCTACCGAGAGTATCTCGCCCGGACGGCAAAGCCTGGCAAGCTACCTGTGATATATTTGATATGCCAAACACAGTAACAACAAAGTCTCATGATGGAGACATTACTGGGCCCGCTCAAGAAAATCGATGAACAACGGGAGACAAGTGACCTGGTGAATAATAAATCACACTTGATTAAGGGGGTTGAAAAACTGAACTAATGAGGAACTTTAAAGTGTTAAATCTACCTTGTATTTTGGACTTCTCTTCTGTGATAGTGAGGTTGATGATAGCAGGTTGTACTTTGATGTGAAGCTTTAGCTTTATTATAATCAACAAAATAAGTAAGCTCATTCTCATTTGAATATTTTGTGTATTGATCATATTGATGTATGGAAGAAACAGGTTGGATTTAAAAGTAATACTCCAGAGGTCTTACATATGCATTTCATCTGTGATGTTTTTGGTTTCTGTTGCTCTTCAGGCTCGAGGACGGCAGATCCATGCTGTTATGGTCATACCCAGTTTCATCTATTAAATGACAAATTAGAAAGGGAACGGCTTTTAAAAAGAAACTGTGCCGATCAGATAGAAGTTGCTTACAGAGCTAATGCTATTGCAAGTCTTTTTGCTTGGACTGGAGCACAAGCTATGTATCAAGGTAACCTAATTTTATGCCATTTTTTTTTTTTGGAAGAAGGGACATTTTAAGAATTCAGTAGTTCATATTATTTTCTTTGGATAAAATGTAATTGTAGAGGTCAGAGAAGTAGCTCAGCACTATAGTTCTAACTTTGCACATGTGATTCCCTGGATTTGGTCCTCTGCACTAAAGTAAAACCAGAAAAAGTAGATAAAATATGAAATGTAGCATTTAACACATAGTAAAATGCTTGCTGGCACAAAATACAGTTTTTTTAAGCTCATAATTAAATATTTTGCATTTGAAGTTGGGAAGTAGCAGTCAGTTTTGAATTTTACTTTGCATACCATTGTGTGAGTGTATTTTGTTTTCTGATGGTGTTCTTAATCATTCCTAGGACTATGCATATATATAATACAGAAATTTGCTTAAAATAGCACTGACCTCCTATTGTTCATCTAATTGCTCAAGCAGGCACCGGTAACATCTCACAACAAATTGTGAGACTTGTTACTGTTTTTGGCATATTGAATACGTCACGGATAGAGAAAAAAAATTTGATGGAATTTTATAGCAAAATATAGCTGTTCTGTGTAATCTAAGACCATATCCAGGATTGGGGGATTATTCATTTGTTCAGTAAATAGTGACTGCTTATTGTGTATTGTTGACCTTAAAAATAGTCTTGAAGTCTTGCTTTCCTAGAGCATATATTATAATAGAAAAGTAAATGATTATAAGCATAGTATCTTAGCCATTGGTGATAATATGGAAAGTACACTAGAGTAGGACTAGAATATGTGTGTGTATATACACACATGTATACACACATGCATACATAGGTGTGTATATATATATGTACATATATATACACACATATACACACATACATGCACATATGGAACACTGCTCAGTAACAGGAAAAGATGAAACCATGTAATTTCCCACTGTATAGCTGGATCTTCGATGGTATCATACTCAGTGAGGAAGTCTGAGGTTCTTGATAGGAACAATATATAATATCTCAGATATGGAATATGTGGAATATAAAGAAACATAGTAATGATAATAGACCCTAGGAGTTACCCTGTAAAAGGGCCAAGGAGGGGCTGGAGCCATAGCACAGCGGGTAGGGTGTTTGCCTGCACACGGCTGACCTGGATTCGAATCCCAGCATCCCATATGGTCCCCTGAGCGCCACTAGGAGTCATTCCTGAGTGCAGAGCCAGGAGTAACCCCTGGCTTTGCCGGGTGTGACCCAAAAAGTAAAATGAATAAATAAAATAACAGGGCCAAGGAGATAGGGTTGGGGTGGGAGGGGACCCGAGATATTGGTGGAGATATGCAGGCACTTTAGTGGAGGGCACGATATTGGAGCGTTGTACGCCTGTTGCTCGTTCTTAACAATGTTCTAAGTCACGGTGCCTAAAAAAAAATAATAAAAGATACTCAATAACATTAAAAAATAGTATGTGAGGTATAGGCCAGGATCTATTTAAACAATTGTTTTTAAGGAAAGCTTAAGAGACTATTTCAGCATACCTGACTGATGAGTTGACTATACATAGACTTGGGGGAAAGCTCACTTGCAGTCAAAAAGGAATAGCATGTAAAAAAGTTACTGATGTGGAACAAACTTAAAAGTGTTTTAGGAATGGTATGGAAGCTCATGTAGAAAGGGAGGGGGGCAGGGTTTGGAGTGAGATAGAGGAAGCCAGGCTAATTTTTTGAGAGCTCATTGTGAAGCGTTTGGATTCTATGATAAAACCTGAAGTGACATTACATTTAACTAGATCAATCCTGTATAAATTCCCAGGGAGAAATTTTAATAGAGAATTAAATGTTGTCAGTTTTCTTCTGCCCCTCTCCTCCACGCTCTGACTCTTTCTCTCCTGGTATTTGGGCTACAACTGGCAGTGCTCTGGGCTGCTTCTAGCTCTATGTGTGGAGTTATCCTTCCAGTGCTGGGATTGAACCGGATCTTTGAACTGCTGAGCACATAGTTGACTTGTCACATCTGTATAGATACTTGAGACACATGCTTAATTTAGGTTTCCAAAATATAAGTAAATGAGTAGGAATAGAAGTCAGAATTAGGAAAAGGAAGATGAGAGCTGAGAGCTTCCCCCCCCCCCGTTTTGAATCACACCCAACATCGCTCAGAGGCTTCCTGGCTCTGCACTCAGGAATTACTCCTGGCGGTGCTTGGGGGACCATATGAGATGCCAGGGATCAAACCCAGGTTGGCCACGTGCAAGGCAAAACGTCCTACCCGCTGTACTATCTCTCTGGCTCCAATCAGAGCTTTCTTAAAGATGCTAGAATGGCACAGTTCATGAAAGATAAAACACTTTTTGTAATAAAATTAAGTCCATATTAAAAATTATATAATGCCAATTATATAAATATAAATTATACAATGAAAAATAATTACTCTTTTAAATAATAAGCTAGCTCCAGTAAGACTAATATTAAAAGATGTATGGGGAAATATAGTAACTGTTCGGCACTGGCAATTGGGCTTAAAAATTGGGCTGCTCCTTTTAGGATGGAAACCAGTCATCCTAAAGGAAGCAGCCAGACAGTTTGAGTAGCAAAGGTAGGAAGACATCCTGGAACCTTATGTGAAGATAAACAAATGACAGCATTTCATAACATGTCTTCAGAATATGTAAAGAAAGAAAGGATACATCTACAGAAATGATCACAGTCCTTAAAAAGTCAGTTCTTTTGTAGATTTGGTGAAGAAAATGGCCATATTGGATGGTACATGTTGCGGTTTGAAGGAAAATTTGAACATATATACCAGATACAAAAGTGACTGGCATAATTAGAGCTTGCTACTCTTGACAAATGAAGTGAATGAAGTGTTGAAGACCCGAATTGTTAAAAAAGATGTTTCATAAATTTAGGGATACTAAAGAGAAGAAATAATCATACGCAGAAATGAACTGTGAAATTAGAATGGAATAGGAAGGGATAACTTCAGACATTTTGGGATTTTGTAGGTAAAATAGGTTTTAGGAGGGATTTGGTACCCTCTGATGTATTTGATTTGGGTAAAATACATTGTGTATAAATTTCACTGTAATGTTCTTCTGCAGGTTTCTGGAGTGAAGCAGATGTTACTCGACCTTTTGTTTCCCAGTGTGTGATCACAGATGGAAAATACTTTGCCTTTTTCTGCTACCAGTTAAATACTTTGGCACTGACTATCCAAGCTGATCAAAATAATCCTCGTAAAAATATATGTTGGGGGACACAAAGTAAACCTCTTTATGAAAGTATTGAAGATAATGATGTGAAAGGTTTTAATGATGATGTTCTCCTTGATATAGTTAACTTTCTCTTGAATAGACCAAAAGAAGATCAGTCACAACTGTTGGAAAACTAAGAAAAACTCTTTTGGTACCGCAATCTGTGATTACTTAGGTTTCACTGAATAGACAATAAAAGCAATTTTGATGATAAACATTGTAAATATTACATGATTGGTTTGAGACAGTTCATATATTAATTTATGATTAGACCTCTCATTTTGTGCAGAATAAATATTTTATTTGTAAACTTAAGCTTTTGTTTTTGATGTAGCACTGCACTGCAATGTCCTCCCATTGTTCCTCGATTTGCTCAAGCGGGCCCAATAATGTCTCCATTGTGTGTTTTGTTACTGTGTTTGGCATATTTTAGGTGTAATGATCTAAAAATAATTTTGTTTGCTACATATGTTCTCCTGAGCACCATCAGGTATCCTGAATACAAAGCCAGGAATATGCCCTAAGCATAGCTGGATTTACACCCTCCTTGCAAATTAATATATGACTAATGAGATTTCTTTAATCTTTCATTTTAATGAATCACCGTTAGGTACAGTTACAGACTTACACTTGCATGCTTACGTTTCACCCATACCGTGATTGAGTACCCATCCCTCTACCAGTGCCCATTCACCACCACCAGTGATCCCAGTATCTCACCATTACCCCCTCTCGTACCTCCCCCGCCCTGCGGCAGGCACATTCCCTTATATTCCCTCTCCCCTTTAGAGTGTTGTGGTCTGCAATGCAGATATTAAATGGTAATCATGTTTGGTCTATAGTCTACTTTCAGCACACATCTCCCATCCTGAGCGGGTTCTCCAAACATCCTTTACTTAGTGTTCCCGTCTCTCTGAGCTGCCTTTTTCCCCAGCATGTGAGGATGGCTTCCAGGCCGTGGTGCAATACTCCTGATCCTTATCTCTACTATTCTTGGTTGTTAGTCTCCCATTCTGTTACTTTATATTCCACAAATGAGTGCAGTCCTTTATATCTGTCCCTCTTTCTGACTCATTTCACTTAACATGATACTTTCCATGTAAGTTTCATGACTTCATCTTTTTTTTTATTAGTGAAACACCATGAAGTACAGTTGTAGACTCACAAATTTTTGTCCTTGTGTTTCAATTATACAATGGTTGAGTACCCATCCCTCCACCAGTGCAAATTTTCCACCACCAATGATCCCAGTATCTCTTCCACCACCCCTTCCCCCACACTCCCCACCCCACCCTGCCTCTGCGACAGAGCATTCCCTTTTGTTCTCTCCTTTTGGGTGTTGTAGTTTTCAGTAGAGGTATTGAGTGCTAATCATATTCTGTCTATACCCTACTTTCAGCATGCATCTCCCATCCTGGGCGGATCCTCCCCACACCCATTACTTGGTGCTCCCTTCTCTATCTGAGCTGCCTTTTTTCCCAGCATGTGCGGCTGGCCTCCAAGCCATGGAGCGAACCTCCTGGTACTTAACTATTTTTGGGTGTCAGTCTCCTATTCTGTTACTTAATATTTCACAGATGAATGCAGTCTTTCTATGTCTGTCCCTCTCTTTCTGACTCATTTCACTTAGCATGATACTTTCCATGTAGAACCATTTTTGTGTAAATTTCATGACGTCATCTTTTCTAACAGATGCATATAGTATTCCATTGTGTATTTTTTTGTTTTCTACCTTTAGTCCTGTTTTCTTTCCATATGGGCAAGTGCTGAGTCTGCTATACCATATTCTAAATAAAATATTTCATTTTTTCTTTTTTAAATTATCCCTGGCTCTGTCCTAAGGGATTAATCCTGGTGGAACTTGGGGGACCATATGGGGTGCCAGGGATTGAACCCTGATTAGCTCTGCATAGACAAGCACGTAGCCTTTTGTACTACCAGGCTTCTAAAATATTTCTTAATCATGGCTCTTTCTAATTCAGTTAAGCCTTGTACAATTTAAGTTTCCATTCTTGATTTCTGCTTCTATAAATCAAAGTAATGTTACCAAGTTATATGGATTAAGTGAGCTAATTCACATGAAAGTGCATTTAATATACTATATAATTAAAGTACTTAGGGTTCAGTTGTAATGTCATTTCTTTTCCTAAGATGATTATATTTGATATTTAATTATTCCATCCTTTGAACACTCGGCTATGGAAGCACCTGTTTCCGTGTCTAGTAACATTTTATCTCATTTGTAATAGAGAACACACACACACACACACACACACACACACACACACACACACACACCCTTCTTCGTATCTCTACAAATGCCAGGAATCCATGTCGCACTATATTTTAGAACACGATCTATTAGCCATATTCACTCTTTGAATCATCGTAACCCGCTGGTGGGCAAGATACTATTTCAAATTTGCAGGTAACTTAATGGTGCAGAAAGCCCAGTGTTTTACCGAAAACCACACAACGAGCAAGTTGAGCTGAGCTGGGGCAATCTAAGCTGGGCTTTGCTGACTTACAGAACCAATTTTAGCCACTCTTAGATTTTCTCCAAGAATAGTCTGACGTTGCTGCTGTCACAGTAACAGAACAGTGGTATATGTAAGTTAAGGCTGATTTTGATCCATCTATAATCCAGAAACGTGGTTTGGAACAAGTGATAATTTGAATTGAATTTTACTGGATGACATTTTATAAAAAAGAAGGGAAGTAAGCAAATGAAACTGAATGGAACTTCAAAAGCTGCAATATTTACCTGAGAAATAGGGAGTGATGATTTAACAAACTGTATGTTGTCTATTAGTTGTTGAAGAAGACAAAAACTCGTAGATAGTGAAGGGACAGGTGTGGGAACATCATATGCCCGAAGTCCAATCATGAACAACTTTGTAAATACGTATATCACTGTGATTCAATTTTTAAAAAATGGGGAAAAAAGTGTCAAGATAATAAAAACTAGCAGGAAACAAAAGTACAGTTGGAATACTTTCAGGATTAGTGGTACATTTTACAAATCATTGCTTGAGGGCCAGAGAGCTAGTCCATTGGGAAGGACACTTGCCATGCATGTGGCAGACCTGGATTTGATCCCTGGGACTGCATATGGAGCCCCAGTGCTCTGCCAGGAGTGATCCTTGGGTACAGGACCAGTAGTAACCCCTGAGCACGATAAGGTGTGGCCCTAAAACAAAAATAAGTTCTTAGGACACTGGTGGAAAGATGCTGACAGCTATTGGTGGATTTGGAGTTAGAACATTGGCTTCCTGAAACTATTTTTGACGATATTATAAATCACAGTGCTTACATAAAAACTAAAAAAAAAATTGAATCACTCAGAAAAAGCAATAACAATGATTACAGTCGCAGCTGTGCTTGCAGACTTCCTCAGGGAAAAGTGACGTAAGAGGAAATCTAGAGGAGCCAAAGTGCAGTTATGTAGGACAATTGGAACAATACGGAAAAACTAAAATCCCTTATTAAGTGTAAGAAAATGTATTGCATTTGATGAACACATGTAATACAAATCAAGGAAGAATCTAAATAAATAAAAATGAATACACAAAAGCAAGCAAAGTAAGCATCAATTAGGTTAATGATATTTCAAACAATTCAAGGTAAAAATATCCAGTGTTAAAAGGTCACTTCTAGGGCCTGAGATAATACAGGGAATAAGAGGGCTTGCCTTGCAAGCAGCTGCCTGGTTTGATCTCTTGCACTGCAGATGGTCTGCAGACACCAAGAGTGAATCCAGCACAGAACTAGGGACCGTATGAACCTTCTAGGTATGTGCCTGGTTCCTCCCCTTATTTCTCTGCCCCCTCTCCCCACCCACCTGCCCCCATCCCAAAATAGTGTTGACCAGGTAAGGCTAAGATGGAAAGGATCAGCGCAAACTTGCAAAGTTGCTACGTTGTTAGGATATTTAGTGTGGATGGGAGCAACCTTTAGTTTCTTCCCATTAGAGCAGCTTTGCAAGGCGACAAATGGTTTGTGAGTTTATAGAGAGCCAAAGTTGCAAAGAAAAACTGGGTCAGAAGCCATATTATGTTAAGTGCATAAGTAAAACAAAGTAACAGGCGAAGGTGCAGTTCATTAGGAACAGTCCTAGTGTCTGCCCATCATAAGGACATAAAAGCAACTGAAGACTTACATATTTAAATGAACGTTTCTACATGAACTTTGTTCTTCTGGTCATACTTAATGGAGAAAGCGTAGATCAAGCAACTTAGTTAAAATAGAAAATTGGAAATGAGATTATTAGGGAGAGCAATGCAGGATAAAACTAGATAGTTTGGAGTCCCATTCTTGTTATGTGAGTTAAGGATATGCTTCCTTTGGTATTTTTGGTAATAAACTGTACAGAATTTGCTTGTAGTTGATATTCACAATGTTAATTAATGTCAGGGAATAATTAGTGGGAATGTGTATCTGCAAATTAGCACATAATATTAATCATGCTTATTTTTACAGTAGATATTCAAGGTATACACGTTTTTCAAAAATGTACATTTTTCTTATGTAGGTATTCATTTTAATCAAGCCATTGCAAAGTACAGAGATACACATATATTTATGTAGATCAATAGTTTCATTGCCTGAAAATACCCAACTGTAGGTCAAGAACTAGTTTTTTAATTGGTCCCATACTTTATATCATACTGTGTTCAGTCATCTCGTGCCTTGTTCATTGCAGTGGAAAAAGTTTTAGAATAAAGCATTTCAACTGACAAAACTAGGCAGAAATAACAATTTGAAAACGAAGTTATAAGGCATTATCTATAAGTCATTATATTTGTACGAATTTATAAATTTAACATTCAGATCAGTTACATATAAGTTTTAAAGTACTCTTCAGCTGGATTTATGCTGAAATAAATCCAGAAACTTCCTTCATAATTTGAATATGAGCACAGGATGCTAGGAAGGAAAAAGAAAAGCATATGTTGAGTAAATGTGGGTGCCAGGTACTACATTAACATCAAAGCTATCAGCATTCAGTACTCACTTCATTTGAAATTTGATAAGATTGCTTAGTGACTAATGGACAGCCTCCGGGAACATACCGCTAAATATGGCACTCAAAGCATCAACTAGGATATTTATATAGTCACTTGATACACTATGTATTAATAGGTTTTGTCTACATAGATGGATGATGTTGTGCTTTTGTTTTGAAAGCCAGGTTTTTATACGTAATTTTCATTTTAATCTGTAAAAATGATTATTTCCATTGGTATGAAATGCATGATCATTATAGAAAAGGGTAGGAACCACATCTAAAGAGCATAAAGAGGGAAGATACAACT